AGAGAGGTGGTGAGAAGCAAGTCAAGGGAAAACAGAGGCATAATAATTGAGACAAATCAAGACAAATGTGAAGTGATGTGATTATGGAATTTTCCAACAGTACTGTCACTATTCTTTCAGAGTAAAGGGAAACACTTTGACTTCCTAGTTTGTGGTCTCATTAGCACCAAATAGTGGACAGTTACTGTAATGTCTGACCACAAAGATGATTTGATGTTGTTTTAGTGAAAGAGTAAAACTTAAATGACTTTGAAGAAATAAAAACTGCATAAATCATCAGAATGGAACAGATTGAATCATCTAAACAAAAGTGACATATATGGTGTGTTTAAGAGCTGTCACACTGTGCACTGGAACATGAAGTCAATCATTAACTGGAATAGAAAAGAGAATACAGAGTGAAAAAAAAAACAGTATATATCCTGTTAACCAAGCGAAGATTGAATTTGAAGCTTTTAAAAAAATCTTTTTGAGCCACACAGTCTGATAAACTATAGAAAATCCACTGATGACTGCTGCTTTCTCCTGGCAAAATCGGATTTTTGTGTCCCACTAATCCCTCGTCACAATCTGCATCCTGCAGGATTCTCTCTCTCTCTCTCTCTCTCTCTCTCTCTCTCACATACACACACACACACACACGCACACTCTTCTGTCTCTCGCACTTTCAATAGTTTCATCCATTCTGTCAGGCCAGGTCATCCATGTTTAGGGTATACTCTTTCACGGCTTGCAGAGAGAGAGTGAGGGAACAAAAGGGGTAAAAGCAGAGCAAAAGTGCAAAATCTAGTCAGGATCAGAGGGGAGAGATCAAGTGGATCAGATGAAGAGGACGATGATAAGCTGCTGAGCCTTGGTAGTCAAGGAAAAGTTTGAACGTCGTGAGGGCCCTGGGGGCAAAGATGTCCTCGTCACGAGGGGTTCGTCGCATCCCCTTCGTCTCACTCGGGAAGAAAGCACAACTGGCAGTGCCCCATTTCAGATATTCCATCTTGGATGTGCCCTGCAGGGTGGGACTCTTCTGAGAACAGCAAACATGCGACTGTGGTGGATTTTACTGCTAAGCTTTTGGAGTGTTTATGGAGAACTCCCATTCATAGCAGAGAACAACGCTGCCATGCTGGTCAACTGGTGAGTGGTCTGTTTTTTTTACACTCAAAGAAAAATAACACAGCGTTGAATGTCGACAGAAACGGATGAGCACCTGAGGGGGGTCAGCTTCTAAATCAATTTGAAACAGTTGGGAAGGGCAGGTGCTATTTTCTGGATGGGAGTTCTTATTAATAAAAGGTGACAGGTTATCTGGATGTCTTTACAGTGTGGGCCAAGTGATTGAATGTTGACATTTCCACTGGAGATAATTTTACCCTGTTTGGCAGACTCTAGAAGGTCTTTTTTCCCCCTTTCTTTCTTCTCCACTGGGTTTTCTAAGTTGAGCTAATGACCCTGCACTCATGATATGAAGTCCTGGTGGATCTATTTTTAACTCTGTAAAGAGGTTTGCCTCAGATTAGCAGCAGTGATGACCAGCTGACCTTTGTCCTGCAAGTCAGCCAGGGCAAAAATCGGAAGACAGGTTATAAAGTCCTGCCAAGAAAGAAATACCATGGCCTCAGAGCTTGTTTCTAAGTGTTTCTGGCCACCTGATGACAGCAGGTGAACTTTGATGTGTAAATCAATGGCAGTGAGAAAAAGAGATGGCTCAGCAGGGTTTAAAACGTCACGTGGTCAGCGTAGTTGATAATATCTGCCTAGCTCATGATCAGAGCATGATAATGTCTTATTGAATATGAGTGTATGCCAGCTCAGCACGGTTATCCATATATGTACATCCATAAAGGCAGAACAAGGGCAAGCCCCCAACCCCACCCCCCACACATGATTACAAAGCTAGAGGCAGAAATGATACGAGTGTATTACCAGTCATCTTTACATAACCGAATTGACAGATGCCACCTAGGCCCCCTTCTCCCCCTTGCTCGTCTCCCATGAGTCTCATTCCGGCTTGAGCCAATGGTGGCTGACCGACGTCACATGGTAAAAGCACAACTGATGGGGAAGCACAAGGATTAACCCTCCAGACCCAATGGCTCAGGATAAGTGTTGTTTTCTCCCCTCCCTCTCTCTCATCTTCATCTCTTCCTGTACTCTTGCTGGTCCTAGAGACAGCTGGCCGTGAGTGGGAGGTGTACTGAAATCCTCATCACTCATTTGCCATCCAGCTTGATTTGAAAAAGCTATAATCACAGAAGGGCTATCGCTTTATTTAAGAGAAAATACGTCACATGGTGTAAGAAAATGAAACTGAAATGGTGTGATGCAACACATCCTGTTCCTGAAAATAATGCATTAGATGCCACAGGTTAGAGATGAACTGTGAAAGAATAAATATGATTTACTAGCCAGAAAATAAAACATCAGTGGATGGCAACTTCAATAAGGAACGTAATTCATGATTAAAATGAAACTTTAAGATAAACAATCCAACTGTAATTTTATATATACATATTTAACATTTTATTATTTTTGTTAATATTGTTTTATATATCAGATTTAACAAATTATTATGTATATATATATATATATATATATATATATATATAGAGAGAGAGAGAGAGAGAG